GTGGCAGATGGGGGAGCAGCACGGACCCAACTAGGAGGGGACCTGGCTCCACCTATTTATGCTTGCTCCATGGTCCTCAGCTAGTCTCCTAACCTCTCTGAGCCTCTGTCAACCTGAAGAATGAAATGATGGATGGGCAGACCTGTGCCCGCAAGGAGCTTGCCGTCAAGTTGGTGGAGGAGAGACTCCATGCCCAGCTCACCAGTCATGCGTGGCTCCCTCCCTTCCCTGGGCCTGCTCTGTAAAACCAGGGACATACCCTCGTTGATGGAGCTCTGAAGAATCCAGCATTTCGTGGGGACTGAGCAACCAACACACAGCGCCAAGGTCACCAGAGGAGCCCACCTGGTCTCCAAGATGAACAGCTTACACCATGCCTTGCATACAGTGGGTGCTTAACAAAGCATCTGACTGGTTGTCCAATAGGCATGAGATTAAGATTGGATAGTAACCACGGGTCCTAAAGAAGGCTGCCCAGGGGGCAGTGACACACATGTGATCCTAGTTGACTGAGGCAGCAGGACTGCCAGTCTGAGGCCAGCCTCAGCAATTTAGTGAGACCCTGTCTCAAAATTTAAAAGAAAAGCTGGGGAGGCTGGGGATATAGCTCAGAGGTAAAGCACCCCTGAGTTCAGGTCCCATTACAGAAAAAAAAATGTGCCCAGTGCCCTGCCAGGCCCCAGAGCATGGAGTCAGGAATGCCTGGTTCTCAGGATGTCCCACCAACTCAGGCTCTCATATATGACCCAGAGCTCACCCAGCACCCACCCTGCCTGGCCAGGATTCTACTCTCACTCAGGACATAAAGCTCCTGTTTCATGCCCACTCTGTCCCATAGGGTCTTCTCAACCTACAGTTCTGTCTTCAAATTAAAAAAAGAAAAAATCCTACCAGTCATTCACACTTAATATGAATTTCTTGGTTTTTTTAAAAATATATTTTATGTTGATGGACCTTTATTTTATTCATTTATTTATATGCAGTGCTGAGAATTGAACCCAGTGACTCACACATGTGAGACAAGCATTCTACCACTGAGTTACAACCCCAGCCCCTTATTTTTTTTAATATTTATTTTTTAGTTTCAGGTGGTCACAACATCGTTATTTTACATTTATATGGTGCTGAGGATTGAACCCAGTGCCTCATGCATGAGGGGCAAGCACTCTACCACTGAGCCACAGCCCCAGCCCCAGTATGAATTTCTTTAACTGGTACATCTTGCTTGACTCCCCAGACTGAATGGGAATTCAAGGGAATGGGAGAAGAGTATTAAAGCTGCAATGAAGAAGATTGGCCTGAGGGGACTTTAGAGGACAGTACTCTAGACACTGAGTTAGGCACCAGAGTCCAAGGCACCCCAGAGAGACCTCTCGGCTTTCAATTTACTCAAATCCCACCAGAGACTCCATTTTTAAGGGTCTTCAGATCTGGTAAAGCTCTGTGCCCACAGTCACTTGCCCCCTCTGGCTTTTAAATTTTGGTCTGTTTAGTGAGGATCGTGGACCCAGATTAGGAGCTGATGCAGATGTGGAATGAGTTTTCTGTCAACTTCTCAGTAGACAGCTGACATGAGATAGTCTCTTTTCCTGATGCCCCCACCCTGCCCACCAATACAGCCCTCCCAGGCCTGTGACTGAGCCTCAAAATCCCCATCATGGCTGGGCACAGTGGTGCACTCCTGGAATCCCAATGATGCTGGAGGCTAAGGCAGTGGGATCCCAAGGTTTTCAAAGCCAGCCTCTGAAACAGCCACACCCAAAATAATTTAGTGATTATTATTATTATAATTTGTCTCAAAACAAAAAAATAAAATGAGCTGGGAATGTGGCTCAGGGGTTAAGCACTCACTCTCATTAAATCCCAGTACCAAAAAAAAAAAAAAAATCCCCATCATTCCCCCAAGTAGCTTCAACAGCAGGACAGAAAAGTGAAGCATAGACAGCTCCAGGCCAGGCACTGGGACTGTCATTGTGCAAGACAAACAGGGAGGTCTCTGTCCTGGGGCCTCAGACACTGCTTGAACAAGATGCCTGTCCTGAGACAAGGAGAAGGACCGACTACCTCAGGGCACAGGGAGACATAGGGGCCCTGGCTGGTGGTCTGGGTCTCTGTGATCCATAAGGGTGCCCAGCTGACTCCTGGGTGAACACGAGCCCTGGGCCTCTTGCCAGTCCCTCACCCTTGTCCCTGGTACTCAAATCAGTCAGGGTGCCCCCAGGCTCCTTCTGATCACTCTACTCTGCCCAAATCCCCACTAGGGTCTGGTGTAGGGAGGGGACAGGGCTCCTGCTATGGAAGGCTGGGCAACGACACTGCCTAGGCTCACCTCCCAAGCCTGACACCTACAATAGGGGAATTTGAGCAGGGGCTCAGCAATAAGCCTCGGTCACCTCCTTCGTACAATGGGAAGAATCACACCTGTCTGGCTGGGTTGCAGCAAGGAATCAATGAAATGGAGAATGGCTGGCACTTATAAAAGTGCTGTCACAGAGTGCCAGTGTCAACTGTTGTCATGGTCAGCACCATCAGCATTATTACCTGTTCTTGAACATCCAGTCTCCTGGCCTGACCCCAAACACTGGGCCCCCCGCTCAGCCCCTCCCCACCCCCTCCTTGCCCTTCATCTTCCATATGAACTTCACCATCCACCAAGACCTGCCAGTCTCCCTGAGCCTGTCCTCCAGTGTGATGGTCAGCACAGCTCCAGGGCCATGAGTCTGGACAGGACTCATGTCATACCTGAAAGGGCCTGCATGACCCCAGAGGGGAACCCTCTACCCACCGTCCAGGGCCACCTGGAACTCACACCAACGCCTATCAAGACTTCCTTCCATCCCCTGCCATAGGAAATCCCAGATTGGCCCCCAAATCTTTCACCCCTTAGAATTCTTTTATTTATTTTTTATTTATTTATTTATATGTGGTGCTGAGGATCCAACCCAGGGCCTTGCACATGCCAGGCAAGTGCTCTACTACTGAGCCACAACTCCAGCCCCTGAACACAATTTCTTTTGCATGAAAACCATACAATCAAGATATATCACTGGAATTCTCACTGTCCAGCACTAAAGACTATTCTCTGAGACATCTGTGCAGAAATCCCAAACACAGTCCCACTGGGCCTCCAAAGCAGACAAACCTAATGGTCTAGAGTGGAAGTCTCCGCAGGCCTCCCAACCTCCAGAGGGCGCTCTCTCCTAGACACCAGACTAGGGGAGGAGCCTCCTGTAGGTGCTCTGGGGTCTGCTCCTTCCAGCCAGAGCTGACCCCAGGCCCCAGCAGAGACAACTAGATTAAACGAGACTTTATCTGCAAACACTGTGAAATACACATGGAAGTTCCCACCATTAACAACAGGGGAAAAGGGAACAAGAAAGTTCCCATCCATCCAGACCCCTGCTGCCCGCACAATCCATTGACATTTAATTTACCCTCGGGGTTGGCAATGATACAAAATCATACATTCAAAAATACTTTTAAGCCCCTCGCTTGTTTTCACCTGCATAGGTGCAGAGGGAAAAGAATGGATTGCAATGTTAACTCCTTGTGCTCATCTGGCTTGGTCTTTGAGGGAAAGAGATTACAACCAAATAGGCCTAAAATGCAGAGAAGAGAATGAAGCAGCCAAATAAAGGGGTTTCCAGAGACCAGAAGGCAGATAGGAGTAGAACCCAGGAGACCCGGACTCTTGTACCAGCTGAGCCCTGAGCCCACCGCGTGATCCCAGGCAAGTCACATTACTGCCTCAGCTCCCTGTGTCTTGGTCTTTGAGAAAGCCATGCTCTTGTGGTCTCCCACAATTTTGGTGAAAACCAGGAATGGATAGGGAAGGGCTCTGGCTAGGGAACAGTCAGGTGGCTGTAAGCAGCCAGTGATGTGTCACCCTTAGAGTCAGGGGGAACCATAGACAGAATGCTGTGGGAAATGCTTTTAGTGAAGGCACACTGGTCCCCACTTGCAGAAGAGTAGGGAACCCCAACAGTGCTGAGGAACAGACCCTGGACATAAGTGCCTGTGCCACTGAGTGACCCTGGGTGAGCGACTTTACCCTCAGTCCCCCAAGCCTGGTGCTGTTCTGAGATAATACATGTACAGTAGCTGAGTGGAGGCCACCACAGTAAACACTCCTTGAACAGCACGGTCACTCCCGCTGCACTGCTGTATGACATGGGCGTGGGGTAAGGGGAATTACAGCTCTGAGGCAGACAAACAGACCCAGCCCAAGGGCTGTCAGCCCCGCCCAGCAGAAAGCCAGGCCCCAATCCCAGCTGTCCTCACCTGCCAAGTTCCCAAAGGACCCTGCAGACCTTGCCACCTGAGTCCCCTCTTGCCCTGATGCCCCTGGTTCACCACCAACTTCTCAGGACTCAGGGACACCTTATTCTATCAAATGTGGGGGTCCCCACAGGACTTTGAAATACACAGAGGCTGGGGCTGTTAGACAGTCAGGGGATAGCACTAAACCAAGGTTCCCTCCACTTCCTATCTTAGCATCCTCTGATCAGGATGGAACTTGGAGCCACGGGCTCTTAGCAAACTCCTCACTGGCCCGACCCTCCTGCAAGTTCACCCAAACCTACTCATTCTCCCTCTGCTGACCCTTCACATGGGCTCTTCCCCAGGAGTAGGAACAGGAGGAAGACAAAGGCATAATATCTGCCTGGCTGCCTCCCGCAGCTAGAGGAACAGGATCCCTTGCTCAAGGGAGCGACGGAGCTTTGCTGGCTGTTATCATTTCCCTGAGAGACAAGGTAGACGCAACCGGTTAAAACGTGGTCGACAGGCTCTTTAACAGTTGCCAGCTTCAGGTTTCACTCACGCAGAAGCTCGTAAGCCCAAGAACACTAGCAATTAAAACACTGGCCGTTTTCCACCCAAGGGGTGAGAGGAAAAGAACCAAAAAGGGGAGAAGAAATCCAAAGACCTCCATCCAGCTCCCCGCACCCATCCCGCGACACAGCTCAACAAGACCGCGACGCCAGGAGAACAATGCCAACCTGAGAATTCACCCGGAGCAGTGATGAGGGAGTTGGTGGCCTCCGTTTCAGTGTAAGACAATGTGGAATCGGACAGATCTGTGGGGGGAAGAGAAAAGAGAACTTAGTTGGCCTTGGGCTCCGTGCGCTCTCCTCTTCTTTCTCAGGGACCTGCAAGCGTGCATTGGCGTGGGCATGTGTGTCCATGCACAGGGCAGTGTGTCCCCCACAGCTTTCTCAGGCTACTCTGTAACCCCATTCCAGGCTGGCCAGCCCTGGAACTCTTCTGGAAACGGCTGGATGCTGTTGACCCCGGCACCTGGAAAAGTTCCAATTGCTCTGACCACAGAAATAAGCCAAGTTCGGGGGACCTAGCAAGTAGCAACTTGGAGCCTTCTTGGGTAAGGGTAAATTAAGCCCCTAAACAATTCATAGTTGCTGTACTTAATTACAACCATTAAAATTCTTGAAGTTGTTCCTTCTTGCTTCCTTCCTTCCTTCCTTCCTCCCTCCTGCTAGCACTGGGGAAACTGTTTTAACAAGTCAGCAGCCATCTTCTCTCGGTCCCACTCACACCCCTCTAATTAAGGGCTCAAGCATTTGCTCCCAGGTTAACTTTTTTTTTTCCCCTTGCTCTCTCTCTTCTCTCCTGCTCCCTAACATGCTCACCATGTGATTTTCAATGCCTGGATTTTTTTTTTAAGGCCTTCTTGTTTTTTATTTTTATTTGTGGTAGGTTTAAGGACTTCATATGGCACTCATTATTGGCTTGTCCTGTCTGCAGTACGGTTAGATGGGAAGGGAAATTCTTTAGCACATTTTCTCTTGAACACTGAGCTGCTACCTTGACAAACTGATGCCTTTTGGGACAAGTAGACTTGAGAAGTTTTTCCCTGTTCGGGGCCTCTGCTACCAGTGACTGGGTGTTGTCCCCATTAAGGGACAGGCCTGTCCAGGAGTTGGGAGGCATGTCCCCGGAACCTGCAGCATTTTCATTTTCCGCTGACCCAGCACAACCTGGATCTGGCTCTGCTGGCCCCACCTGGCCCAGCAGAGCCACTCGGGGACCAGGGGTTCCTGGGACAAAACCATTAGCTTAGGCCTGAGCTAACTAGAATTCCATTCCATCTTGCAGGAATTTTTCCCTTTTACCACATGGCTTGGGGAGCGGGAAGATGAAACATTAACCAATTTGGCCTTTTTTTTTGTTGTTTCCCACTTGCCAGATGCTGACTGAGTACTCTGGGTTTTATTTTGTTTTCTTGGTTTCATGTGATCACAGAGGCTTAGAAGTGAACTGACTTTTTGTTTATGAAAAAGCAACAATGCAAGGAAGAGAAAATAATACAAAAAAAAAAAACCCTCAGACTATTTATCAGGGAACAAAAAAGTTATCTGCTAGTAGTATTAGGAGGGAAATAAATGCCCTTGGAAAATCTTTAAAAAACAAAGAAACAGAAAAAAAAATACCTCAATGCCTAAGTGGGAACTTCTTAAAGGACTTTTAGCACCTAATGTTCCCAAGTGCTCGGTGGCTTTGCTGCCACTTTACATCTGAAGTAGCACCACCATGGCCTGAGCCCTGGCCTGTCCTGACCGACCCACAGAGAAGTTTCCAGAGGAATTGGAAAGGCAGGTGCCTTCCACCTTTCACAGCTATCATACCCTCCCAAACCCTCTCATCTAGCTTTTCCAATGAGGGCCTCGGAGGTGGGCAGCCATGACACAGGGGCTGTTAAATAAAGGACGTTCCCAAGCTCCAACACTGCCCAAGCCTGAGGAGGGGCTCTGGGCAGAACCTGGAGCCCCAGCTTCAAGTCTCCCCCCCACCGGCGAATAGTTGGCAATATCAGGGCCACCACCTGTTTTCTTTTAAGGGCCAGAGAATACATATCTTCAACTTAGCCAGGTGTGGTGGCATACACCTGTAATCCCAATAGTTGGGGAGGCTGAGGCAGGAGAATCGCAAGTTCAAAGCCAGCCTCAGCAACTTAGTGAGACACTGTCTCAAAAATAAAAAGTGCTGGGGATGTGGCTTAGTGGTTAAGCGCGCCCGGCTTCAATTTTCAATCCCTGGTACCAAATGTGTGTGTGTGTGTGTGTGTGTGTTTCTTTAACTTTACAAGCTCTACAGCCTGTTACAGCTACTCAACTCCACCACAAAGTGGAAAAGGGCACACGTGGCTGTGTTCCTGTGAAACTTTCCTTTTGGACACTAAAATCTGCATTTCATATAAATTTTCATGAGCCAGGAAATATTCTTCTTCTTTTTTAATCTTTTTTAGTGGTTGATGATCTTTTTTATTATTATTATTTATTTATTTATATGCGGTGCTGAGACCCAAACCAGTGCCTTTTACCCACCAGGCAGGTGCGCTCCCGCTCAGCCCCAGCCCCAGCCCCTATTCTTCTTCTTTTGATATGTTTTTTTAACCATTTAAAAATTTTAAAAAATTAAAAATTAAATAGCTCACAAGTCATATAAAAACAGGCAATGGGCTGAGCTCCAACAGCCCCCAACAAGTCACCTCCTCCATCTGAGCCTCAGTTGTCCCATTTGTAAAATAATGGGGACACTTGTAGGTTTCCAAATGCTCCCTCGACAGGGCTGGGCGGTGTTCTGGCTTTTGCTGTTTTATCCTGGGCTCCTGACCACAGTCCCTCGGGGCAGTGGTCTGGATGGTTAAGCCCAGGTGCCACACTCACTACAAACTTTTGAGGCATGTTTTTTTTTGTTGTTTTGTTTTTTCTTTCTTCCTTCTAACGGGACCAGGGGTCTTCTAAGCAACTAGTGCACGAACGATGACGCTGAGGCGAGCCTATGAGTGACGCATGGGACACTCTGGACCTGAATGGGGACTGCTCTGGGGTTGGGCCTGAGCCCTGTTGCCCCTTGGCAGGGTGACCTGCCCCATCACTCAGCCCCCCTCCTCATCATCCCGACAGGTGAATGTGCCAGGTCCCTGAAGAACTACATAAGGTCCCCCATCAACAGGATGATCCTGCTTCTGGAACAAGTGGGGAAGCCACCATGGTGCACCTGGATCTGCACGCCCTCCACGGCAGCCTCTGCCCTTCATGCCAGAGGTCAAGCTTCTGAGGGTACCTTGTGGGCACTTCTGACCTCACAAGTTAGGGGTTGGGGGGAAACTGGGGTGAGTCCCTGAGAGGCTGTGACATAAAGAAGTGACCTCCCAGATGGCGGTGACACATACCACTGGGAAGATACCTTTACCAAAAGCAAAACAAAACCCACTCTTTGCGGTCACTCGGGAATGCTTTAGCCATCTGGCTTCGAAAGCCGGCGTCCTCCAGAAACTTCCTGGGTCACAGAGTAGCTCTCCTGGACGGTTAAGGCCAAACTACGGCACCTGCCACCGTAGCCTGCAGGGTCCAGCGCTCCCACTGTGTGCTCTGAGTCCCACTGGAGACAGCCAAGAAGGCCAGGCAACAAGCGAGATCTACTTTTAAAATGACAGGCATCCACCCCAGTAGATAGGCTAACAGTTTAGTCTTAAGGTTTTCAGAAATCATGTTCTGGCTCTGAGGGGAATTATCTAAAATGACACCACCACCTTCACTAAGCTCACCTAGGGGAGAGCGCCTGTCAGGGCCTTTTGTGCCAATACACATTCATCCTACCTATTCCTGCTGTCCTATTTGTCCCGGTGAACATCGTGGCTGGTGGGGAGGCATACAGCTCCTCTCAAGAAGGACTTCAAGTCCAACTTATCTGTCACACTCCTAATTAATACACACTACAGCAGAACAGCCCCGGCAGGGGGAGGGAGAGAGAGGACAAGAAACCCAGAAATTCCAATCCACCTCCAACGACAGGCTGAAGTCAGAACTCATTCATCTCTGACAGGCCCATGTTTAAAGGTCACAGAAAGGTTAATGATGAGCCCTGGAATTTCAAGATGTAAATAGCCGGCTGCAGAAGTTGGGTCGGCTTTGGCCCAACGGTGGGAGTGTTCCTAAAACTTCATCCCATTTCAGAGGACCCCACCCAGCCACCAACCCTCCCCTCCAGGGCTGAGGGGCACACTTACCCAGTGGCTTGTACTCGTCTTGAGGAGACAGCCGAGAGTAGGGAGGGGGCGGTGATTCTGAAAGACAGGAGACAGCATGTCACTGCTGAGGCTGGGGGGTCACACCTGGAGCTCTGCTTGTGGCTCATTATTAGTTTCCTCAGTCCTCAGGAAGCCCTCCATGTCCCTCGCCACCTCTACTGTCCAAATCTACTGGATGAGTTAAGGCCAGAGGCTTGGGGTGCAGAAAGACCTGGGCTCCATCCCTACTCTGACACCTATGGCTGTGTGAGCTCAGGCCAGTTACCTCACCTCTCTGAGTCTGTTTCCTCAGCTATAAAATGGGGATAATAATCATAGAGACCTCCCAATTTTGCCGGGAGGGCAAAAGAAGATGATATATATAAAATGCTTAGCACAGCTCTTGGCACTGTAGAAAAACACCTCCATAAATAGTACCTATTATTATTATACAAGAGAAACATGGGTGCAGGGGAAGTCAGAGATAGAAGTGACAGATAAAATACAGGATGCTCAGTTACACTTGAATTTGAGGTAAACATGACATAGTATTTTAGTATAAGTATATCCCTTGCAATATTGGGGATATACTTATACTAAAATGTTGCTTATGTGAAATTCAAATTTAACTGGACATCCTGCATTTTACTGGCTAAATTTGGCAAGCCTCGTCAGAGCTGAGGGTGAATCCCAAGGCCCAGACATGAAATCTGTTTCCAGATGAGCTGCGTAAGAACTGACATTCCTGGGTGTAGGGAGGAGGACCCCAGGGCTGGCTGTGGCCCAGGAAGCCAAACCTAGCTCAGGTAGCTCAACGGGAGGCCTCAAAACATTGCTTCCAGCTCTTGGCCTCAGTCTCCCGCTCTGGAAGGGAAAGGCAGGGGTGGGACTCGGCTTCCCAGCTCAGATCCTGGGTTCCTTATTGTCTATGGTGTTTCCTTTGGGTTTCCTTTCATTTGCCTAAAATAATCCTCCTTAAAAACAGATACTTTGCCTTCAGAAGAATTTCTTAGCCTCTTGCATTATGGGGAAGTAACAATTTGCTAAACTAAGTAACAATTTGCATGAATGAAATGACCCTTCATTTTCCGTAAGTGAAACTCAACACCATCAAATCGCAAACGAAGGCAAACTCTGCCGTAATAAAGGGGTAATAACTATTATTAGGCGGGTATCAGGAATGACACAGGGGTAATAAGTGTTTTCGCAATTATAATGGGACACAATTAGTCCTAGGAGCATTTCTTGGGCTCCACACACCCAATGAGGCTTCACCTCTTCTCCACCCTGGCCTTCCAGCCAGAAGTTGCCTCTACACAGTGGAAGCTCAGAGGCCTAGACACAGGGACTCTCTGTGGATGGGGGTTAGCGAGAAGGAAGGGGGCGAATCGTGGAGTAGCCCATTTGCTCCAGCAAAACAGTTTGCACAGAGCGGTTAATCCTGCTTGCTGGGCACCTATTTGTATTTAATCCTTCCTCAAAAACAAAAATAAATAATTAGATGGCATTATTATCCCCGTTTTACAGATGAGGAAACTGACCTGCCCATGCCCCCCAGCCAATCACGGTGGAGGTGGGATTTGTGCCCAGGCCAGACTCTGCTCCATTGCTCCATGAGCCAGGGAATGAGGCGGCGCCGGGTCTCACAGCCCTGGTCCCTGCTGGGGCCAGCACACCACCTGCACAGAAAGTGCTCACGTAATATTTGAGGACAAAAGCATCAGTGATGGGGATATGGTGAAGTTGGGCACATCTTGGATAAAGAGGTGGAGAGAGAGAAGCTGAGGGCCAAGGCCGGGTGGGCCCACAAGAGACCCCAAACAAGATTCACCGAGAGGGGCTATCTGCTTTCCACAAGAGCCACCTACTGCATTGGTCCACAGGCCCATAGGACAGTCCTGAGCGAGGGCCAGCCTCTTAGGACAAGAGTATGTCACAGGAAGGGCTGGAGCTCCACAGGGAAAATAGGACTGAGGCCAGCGCTCCCACTATACAGAGGAGACAGGCCAGGCCAGTGGAGGTTCCTCCCTGGGGACCTGGTTGTGGAGCCAGAACCAGAGCCAAGTCTCTGACCTCCAGCCTCATGACCTTTTCACTACCCCACACATTTATCAGGAAGCCTGTGATTCCTACATTAGGGTTACTTGGTAAAACATCTGGTTGGCTGAGGCCCAGTAACACACAACATGGAGCTCAGGACATCTGTCCCACCCTCCACCTCATCCCCACCCCATCCCCAAAGCAATGGAGGCGGCAGGTATGGTCAAGCCATTGTTCCTAATCCTAGCACCTCTTGCAGGGATTATTTATCAAAAGGTGGAAGGCAGGACAGAATCATGAAGTCCCCCCCTGCAGAAGCCACCTAGGCCTTGAGCTTTGACACCACCCAGGGACACACCTGGGTTGTGGGTTTCTAAAACCATTGATGAGACAGAAAGAAAATCTATGAACCTGAAATGATGTAGACATGCCAGCTAGCAAAGGACAGAAAAGTTCTCAGGAGGAACTTCACCAGGCCCTTGCTGGCTCCAGCAAAGCAGTCTGCACAGATTGTTTACCAGCTCTAGTGGAGACTGGGACCCAGAACATCAGAGATGAAAGGGGCCTACCTAGGGGCCCACCACGCCCAACTCTTGTTTTTCTGTTCTTTGTTTTTTGTTTTTTTCAGTATTGGGTATTAAACCCAGGGTCTTGAGCATGCTAGGCAAGTGCTCCACCACTGAGCTACATCCCAGCTTTTCATTTTTTTTTTTTTTCATTTTTTTCATTTTGAGACAGAGTCTTGGTAAGTTGCCCAGGATGACCTTGAATTTGTGATCCTCCTGTGTAGCTGGGGTTACAGGTGTGCACCACTGAGCCTGTCTACTCAATTCCATTTAACTGATAGGACACTTGATGTCCAGCCAGGAAAATGACCTACCCAAGGCCACACATGAAGGTAACTGCAGCTGCTATTCTACTTTGACGAAAAAAGGGGGAAGCCAGTTGGAAACCAATACCAGATAATTCTTTTTAACATTTTTGAAATATAATTCACAGATTATGAGATTCAACCTTTTAAAGTATACAAATTAGTGATTTTTAGTATATTCACAGAGTTGTGTGACTATCACCACAATATAATTATAGGATGGTTTTATTACTGTAAAAAGAAACTGTCCCCATTAGCAGTAATTTCCTATACCCCAGTCCCAAGCTCTAAGCAAGCACTGACTAGTCTCTACAAATACCTATTCTGGAAGTTTCAAATAAATGCAATCATACAGTTTGTAGTCTTTTGTGTGTGGCTTCTTTCACTCAGCATAATGCTCCAAGGTTCACCTATGTTGCACCATGTATTAGTATTTCACTCCTTTTTATAGCTGAATGATATTCCACTGTGTGGATGAACCACATTTTGTTTATCCATTCATCAGCTAATGGACATTTGGGTTGTTTCCCCATTTTGCCATTAAGAAAAATGTGCTATATACAATTCTAGATCATTCTTAACTGCCACTCCCACTCCACTTCCATGGAACCAGGCCCCACCCCCTGAATCTGTAAGAATGGGGCTCCAGGACACTGTCTTAGGCAGATAAGGTGGACCCTTACCTGGTGGGACACTTGAGAAGTGAGACAAAGGATCAGGAAGAGATCCTGTGAGTCATAGGCCCTCTGTCTATTGCCCTCTTAGGAGAGATACTAAAACTTGCGAAAGTTGTGATTTTAAAATGATTTATATGCTCTAAACCTGAACAGAACTTCTAGTGCCCTGAAGGCCCCTCTGAAAGAAATGGACCTAATAGAAAAAGAGAAAGGCTTCAGAAACTCCAATCCCTGCAGACACCTAGCCTGAGGCATTCACTTCAGGAATCTCCTCCAACTTCCTTCAGAAGGGAAAGCAGTCAGCCAGGGGCTGAGGGCACCCAAGTTGGTGCTCAGTTTAGCCCAGCTCAGCCCAGCCCAGCTCAGCCCAGACAGGCCTCGGGTTAGCCCCCAAGGGGTACTTAGCCTTCTGGGTTCTAGACCTACATTTGAAGCCAGAGGAAAGTTCACAGCCTCTCCCTGCACCTGGCAAAGCTGCAGTTTGGGACATTACCTTCCAGCAGTTTGGGACTATACCTTCTTTACAGCTCAGCATCTTGCTTAGGAAAGGATTCACATAGCTCCATGGCCTTGAATTTTTCCCCCTCCCAAGGGGTGGCTGAGAACCTGGAGGGGGCTTCCCAGGTGCCTTTCCCCTCCTCCCCCAGAACCTAGAGGCTCAACCCCAAGCCCCAGGATGGGAGACACAGAAAAGGAGCTCCTGGCACTTTAAGGCCGGCTGAGCCTAATTGCCCAGATTCCCCCGCAGCCAGATAAACAGCGCGGCCGGCTGGCGCCAGCAAGAGGCAAACTGCACATTATCACCCCTTCCTCACCTCCAGGAGGAGCGAGGAGCAGACAGGCAGGCCTAGGGGCCTCGAGCCGGGCGGGGCGGGGGGCCTGGAAGCCCAACTTGAAATTGATCTCATTTCAAAGGGATAATGCCAGGCCAAATAAAAGGAAAACTTTCTAGCCCGTTCTAATTCCTCAGCCCTGGCCTGGGAACCCTGTGTTTTCCTAGGCGGCCTCCTCCAGTCGTTTAGAAGTACTCTCTCACTCTGTCTCTTTCCCGGGCACAATTTGGATAATAGTAATTTACTGAATATAATTACAGAAAGAAAAAAAAAGTGGTGAAGCAAAGAGCAGGAGATTTACTCCAAAGTTAATGGATACTTTCAGGAGAAAGGAGCTCTATAAACACAGGTCAGAGCTGTGATTAAAGTATTTCTCCACATTTCCGTCCACATAGGCACCCACCGGGCTCAGCGCGCTGCCTTAGCCCTGAGCAGAAAGGCTGGCAGGAAGGAGGCTGAGCTGGGGCCTGACTTCCCAGGGGCCACGCAGTGCCCAGCACAGAGCCTGGCACACAGGGTGCACCCTCCACCCCAGACCCCAGTTTCTGAGACAAGCACAGGGGCCAGGGCAAGTGGAGGGGAGGAAGGCCTGTGCACCCATCAGACCTCAGGGGCTCTGTCCAGCCCCCAACTTTACAGATGGGAAAATAGGCCTTGAGAGGGAAATCTGCCTCAAAGCAAGCTGATGGACAAGCAGGATTGGCTCTGAACCGCAGGGGTCCACACTGCCCAGGAAATGGCCTCCTGTCACTGGGGCTCCTTGTGGGGCTGGCTGGGGTGGGGAGGAACACTGGTGACTGGTGCCAGGTGGGTGTTCCTCAGTCCTTCCATGCTGGGTGTTCCTGTGTACTTTACTCTAGCCATGCGTCTGCTCTGTGTGAGTGTCTGTCTGTCTGTCTGTCCCATGCCCCAGTCCTCCCCCCACCCAAGCTGGAAAGAACAGTCTCCTTATCAGGGCGCGCACGGCTGAGCCCTAGCTATGCACCCGCCCAGCTTCAGGAGCCAGGCTGGCGGCCAGACAGCGGGGGTGGGGTGGGCAGCAGAGGGCTTCCCCAGTTCTCAGTCCCAGGAAAGGCAAAAGGGTCGACCCAGCGCACACTGAAGATTCCTCAGGCCATCAGTCTCTCCAGCCTGCCTCCGTGGGCCCCACCCCCCCACCCCGCAGGCTAGCAGCAAGCAAAGAAGCAGAGGAACAGACTGGGGACACTGCTGCCCCTGCAACAGCGCCTCCTTCTGGGGGGCAGAAGCAAGCCAAGAACCAATGCTCAGTCCAGAATTAGACTTGGGAAACGTTCCTACAGCCACCCCCACTGAACCATAGGGAGACTTTGAGGGGAGGTAACTCATCCAAGGTCAAGTTGCTGGTTACTGGCTGGGCAGAGCCTAGGACCAGAGTCTAGGGTTAAGAACTGTTCTACTGCCATTTCCAGTTCTCCTTCAAACTTACAACTGTCTAGCAAACTCAAACCACAGCCCAGGCCAAATCCTAGTTTAAGGAATAGAAGTGAGAATGGGACTGTCTGTTGCCTTCGAAGTTTTTTTGCTCCTCGCCTTCCTGCCCACCCAACTGAGCTTGCCTGGCCTCTTGGCCCTGCTGGCCAGCTCCTCCTCTGACCCTTCCTACAAGGCTGCTCCAGGTTAGAGGTGTGGAGCTCCTGAAGGCAGATTCTATATGAACACACCTACAGCACTGCTAGTGGTTCACACCATTGACCCTGCCCCTGCCCCCTGCGCTTCTTCTCCTCTTCCCATCTCTCTCTCCTCCCCAGGATTATTTCTTGAAGGTGTAGATCCTACTCACATTTCTACTTCACCAGTTGCAGCACCCAGCACGCGGTGCCTGGCACAGACTAAATGCTCAACAAACATTTGCCAACACAATGACATGGTGAAAGAGAAAGTACCTGCAAGGGCCTACTAGAAGAGTGGAGTGGACCCCACTATCCATCTCCTACTAGAAAAATAATCAGGAACAAGACCATCATATATGGGCCCCGTTTTTCAAAGACAGGGAGGAGACAGGAATAACTGAAGGGAGAAAGCCTCTTCCAGGGGAAGCTGTTGAAAAGAGTGGCCAGGCATAGGAAGCTCAGTGTAGACCCCAACTCAGGGTCTGCCCAAGGCAGTGTGGAGTGACCATTCGGAGAACAGGTCTCTCCACCCCCCCCCACCCCTCTCTCTCTCTCTCACACACACACACACCCATCAATGTCCTCTATTCAGGAATCACCACTGAGCGGAAACTTCCTTTCCCTTCGAGCAATTACCCCCACTCAACCCCGAAAACCACACATATAAGACACCTGGGACAAATCCAGGCTCCCACCTTCCCCTTCCACACTGAGTCGGGAGTCCTGTGATCTGACCATCTATGTGCCCCCAGGCTGGTGCTGACTCTCTCCCAGGAGGTCAGAATGGAAGAACTCCCAGGGCCAACAGCCTGAATTCTACTGGCCCCATTCTTGCAAAACCCCCAATGCCACCCAATAGATTCACACACACACACACACACACACACACACCCCTAATGAAGGTTCCCTACAGTGCAGAGGTCAGAGCGAGGGGATGGCAAGCTCCCTGCCTTCCAGAGCTCTGCCCCTCCTCACTTCTGCTCCAGCATCCAGGGGCTGCCCAGGTAAGGAAGGCTGGAGATGCTGTGTACAGGGGAAATCCCAAGAGGAGAACAAAGGAGGGGAGTGCAGTTCTTGGAGGTAACTTAATAGCTGGCTTCCTCACCTAGTCACAGAAGCCTCAGGAACCCTCAACTCTAGAGGAAAAAGGAGCACAAGAGAATGAGAATGGTGATGATGGAGAACCCTGGCATTTGACACCCAAGGGATGCTGGGAATGAGAGAGGAGTAACCCTACAAAAGCTTTGCTGCAAAGTGTACTAAAGAATAAGTGGAACATTTTGTGAATACTTTCCACTCTAGCCATAATTTATATATACCAAATTTCACAACTTATGGGTATCTTCACAGAAGTATAGCCTGGGTATAGGCATGTGCATGCGCATACAAATGCTGGAAGCCTGGGTACCCAATGGAGTAAATTCTGATATTGGGTGGTGGGAAGACTGACATCCATTTTTTGGAGGGGGTGGGGGGCTCTCTTTGGTCTGCCCTCCCCTCTCACTGAAGCTGAAGCTGCACAGAGAAAACTCCAACTTGTACCCATTATATGGGTAGCCATTGCTGGAACCTTAAAATGAAGTTGCCATTTGATTTGTGCACTCAGACATCCACTCTCTGGCTCTCCTTTTCACTCCCCTCAGCCAGGTTAGGCACCTCTCCTGGAAGCTTTCACGCTCACGGGCACTGGGTGAGCGCCAGCCGCTGTGCCCGCCCGCCCCAGTAGCACAGAGAGGAGGCCAGAGGAGGGTGCAGGGAGGAGGAAGGCTAGGCTCCCACTTGGCCCCGCGAGGCACGCTCACCTGGCCCGCAGAGCCGGCTGAAGTGGTAGGGGTTGCAACACACGGTGGGGCCGTCGGCGGCGGCGGCGAAGCTGTGGCAACCGCACAGGGGCTTCAGCTCCACGGCGTGCTGCAGGTCAGGCCAGCGGAAGAGGCGGCCGAGCAGCAGCTGCGGCGGCGCGGGCTGACCGCCCAGGCGGAGGTCGGCGCGCGGCACCAGCACGCAGCCGCCCGGCACGCCGCCGCGGGACTCCACCGCCTCCAGCAGCGTGTCCAGCGAGCGCTCCTTGAGCCGCTTCAGCAGCGAGTACGTGACTGTCTTCAGTTCCTGCTCGAGCAGCAGCAGGCGCGAGCGGGCTTCGCGACTCCGCCCGCCGCCCGCCGGCTCCAGGGCCGCCCCAGCCAGGGGGTCGCCAGCGTCCCGGGGCGCGCCAGCGGCGTCCCGCTCCGAGAAGAGACAGCAGGTCACTGTCTCGCAGTCACTCTCGGGCAGCCAGCCCGGGCCTCCCGGTTCCGCCACATCCAGCAGGGAGCCCCCGGCGCCGGCCCCCGGCTCCGACATGGGTCTCGGGGGGCCCCCTGCGCGCCGGCGCCTCCCCGCACTCTGGGCGCCTCGCTGTCCCACCGCGTCCCGGGGCCGCCGTGGGACTACCGGGCGGACTTCGGAACGGCCACAGCCTCCGCCCTCTCGTGCCCGCGGGGCCGGCTCAGCTTGGCTGCCCAGGCTCCCATCCTCGTCACCGCCGCCGCCGCTGCCGCCGCCTTCCTCCCGATCGGGGACCACACGACTTCGCCAAAGTCGCCGCACCAGCCCCGAGCGTTTGGACCTGAACATACGATATCCTTTGGCGCCAGGGGTGGGAGGGAGGCGGTCTCCGGTTACCAGGGGTCCGTTCCCTCAGCGAGGCGCCGGCTGCGCGGGCCGCAGCCCCACATGAAGCTCCGCCGCGGAGCGCCGTGCAGACCGCGCACAGCCTGTCGTCGAAGGGGCACAGCAGGGCTGCAACATGAGGGAGCTCGCCCGGGCTGGACAGCCGGGAACAAGCGCGCGCCGAGCCGCAGTCCGCGCTTGGCCAGCGGCTACATGGATCTCGGCGGCCGGCCTAACTCCAGCCCCCGCGCTTTAGGGGGGCTGCAGGCAGCGCGCAGTTAGAAAGACCCTGCATGGGCCGGCGAGCCTTCAAAAGTTGCGCGGCTCGTCCATGAGCACAAAGCGCTCGCGTCGAACCCCCAAATGTGTCTGGAAAGCCCTGCCTTTAAAACCCAAGCGCGTAACTACATGGGCTTTTCCTGCAGGATCCGAAAGGTAGGCTTGTTGATACCCTCAACTCCCTGCAAAAAAGAAAGAAGGGGTGGGGGGAAGGAAAGAAAGAAAAATCCCAAACAAAATCCAAATCCCTGGATTTGCATGCATGAAAGGCCAACTCCGTCTCAGGTCCCAGGAGCTAGATGCACTTGGAGCGAGTTTCTCCTGAACGCGGGTGTCAACACATGAGTGGAAGCTGTAAAAATCCCAAAGAGCTGCTGGGAATCCTTAATTAAAAACGCAATCCACCGAGGCAGAGGTCGCAGCCCGCCCCACGCTGCGCTCGGACGCTTGGGGCGCCGCGGCTGCCGAGGTCGCCCCCCCTCCCCCCTCCACAAAAGTGCCTCCCGGTGGCCCCGCGGTCCCTGCGAGGTTTGGCGAGGCAGCGCCCGGCAGCTCTTTCTCTCGGCTCGGCTCCCTCGCTCGCTCCCCCGCTCGGCTCTCTCTCTCTTTTTTGTTCTCCTCAAACGCACACTGAGGGCCCCCGGAGGAGCGCCGCGGAGTCATTGGCTGCCTCCCATCATATGCCAGTCTAGACACTTTGGCGGCTCCGCGGCGCTGATTGTTGCGCAAACAAGGTTTCAAGTTTCTTAACTCTTAAAGGAGAACACGTCCCATTGCAGGGCCCGAGGCTCCGAGGGGCTGGCTCCCGGGGCGGGCCGAGCCCCGGCCCCCGCCCCACGCCCGCCCCAGCACCTCCGCCCCTGGCCTGACAGCGCCCGCGGCTCGCTCTCCAGCTATCGGTGCGCCCGGGGCACGGATACCGGGGAGTACACGGACACACAGAGGGGTACACAAACCATTCGTGGGTGCGTGAGGTCTCGGCGAACCCACCAAGACTCTAGCGCAAACGGGGCATTTTGCCTCTCTCTGGTTTATGCACAAGCTTACAAACCCACATTGCACTTTAGAGTCAGTTCAAACCCCCATCCGAATGCACGATAATAAAAATGGGTGTGCATGTGTGCCTTCCTGCCCTGCATCTCTGGGGAGTTGAGGGCGGTTATGCTGGGGTATCGGGGTTTTACGTGAAGATGCCAAGGTTCCATACTCCCGGAGCAGAGTCGGGTATTGCTCTGCTGGGCCAAACCCGGGGCGTGGGACGCTAAGCGCAAGGGGGCTCCAGGCAGGCACGAGGGAGGTAGGGACTTGGAGAGGGTGGGGTAGAGGCAAGGAGTGTTATCCTCCATGGCTCCTCTAAGTCTCCACTGCCCTCCTTCCGAGAGAGGCGGGCCGCCTGCCGTCCCCGGACCCCTCGAGACTGGGTGCTCCCTTCTCGCTTTTCCCCCATTTATTCTCTGCTCCTCGGAAAGGGGCGTGGGTAGGGGGTCGTGCTTTCCCCAGCAATGTTTCACCATAGAATGCAGGTGAGTTAGGGATGGGACTGAGGGCGCGGAGGCGGACTGCGGACGCCTGGCGCGGGAAGGGTTAAGGCCGCTCCTGCCCTGGAGCCGGCGCGGCGGGGTACCTCCTCGGGCGCGCTAGCTCGTCCGAGGGTGGCAAAAGTTCAAGCTTGTAAAGTCGGGATTGGTCCCGCGCGGAGGGGAAAAAAGGCCTGGTTCCCCCTCCCCCTCCCGGGCGTGGCGCCGATTGGCCGGACCGCGGGCTCGGCACCGCCCTCTCCCCGGCGCGCGGCGGCCCCACCCCCGGCGCGGCGCCCCGCCCCTTTCCGGGCAGGAGGGGGGGCCCAGCGCTGAATGAAAGAAATTCCGCTACTCTCATTGGCCCGGGGCTGGGCGCCATTCCCCCGCGGGGCCGCAGGGGCGCCGGCGCGCGGGTCTCCCTCGGGTGCCACGCTGGGGGATGGCGTACTGAATGTGTGGCGGTACGACCCCGGTCCCGTCCCCGGGTCTCGGTGTGCTCTGGCGGGGAGGGCGGGATTCTCTGGAAAGGCTCAGAACCATTGCTGAACCTTACCTGGAGCCAGGTACTAGTCACACCGTTTTCTCTAGTAGAGGCTATTACTCTCCTGAATGAAGAATCGGAACTGAGAAACGCCCGCCCCACCCATCCCGTACTACTTTGATCAAATCGAAAATAGCTGCCCTGACCCTCAGTTTTAGTTGAAAAATGCGGGTTACGATGCCTGCCTGCGTGCTTCACAGAACCATGGAGATCATAGGTAATACTAATAGTGCTTGCGAAATGCACGAATCGCAGGTAAACAGCAAACACCCCAAATGCAACGTGACCCGCATCCCAGAAGTGCATTCCAGAAGCCCATTTAGTGGCCCCTCCATCACTTTTCCCCCCTTGGAAAATTACTGCATCTTAAAATACAAAGAGAAACAAAATGTAAAGTATTTTCTTTTATAAAGGTATTTGCTTCTTTGGTAGTGGATTACAAAAATAACACATGCTTATTGGATCTTTACTATGCAAGGCAATTTTCCAAGGATTACCAGGAATTAGTCTCATAACTCACACAATCCTAACGAGTATATATGTACAGATAAGGAAACTGAGGCACAGGAGTTTGACCATTTCGTTTGTCATTGAAATAAGGATATTGATGAGTGTGTTAATGTGCTCAAATCAGAAGGGCATACACCAGCATATGCACCACCCCAACAGCTGGAAGTGATGTGGGGAGGGGAGGGCGAGCACATGCGCTTATGAGCAACAATTTTCAGAATATGGTCCACCTATATTATACCTACTGAATCAACATGTCTTAGGGAGAGACCCCAGCTCCCTTTTCAACACCAGGGATGGGGATGGTTGGAACCACCAGTTTATACATCAGGGCATTCATACACAAAGCCTTGCACAAAATAACCACACAAGTTTCTAATTAGTGGCAGCAGCAGAATTTGAACCCATCCATTTTGACTGGGGAAGAGTTGTGCTGTGATAGGAAATAAAGGGGTTGGGACTGCCAGAAGAGGAGGGTTAGGTGCAGGTAGCCTGCAGGGCCTCCCTTCAGGGCACAGCTAGATCTGTGGCCACAAATTTTGGCCACAAATGTTTGGTTCATATCTCTGGGGCAAAAATGTGAGCTGTGGCTCCTTTCTCCCACTTCCACCCTCTGTACTTCCCTGAGGCACAATGGCATCCCTTCTTGCAGAACTCCTGGGGAGCACTCTGAGAAATGTTTGTGCCTGTGTTTCCACAGCCTCCAGCCCAGGAGACACTGAAGCAGTGGCCTGCCTGGGAGGACCACCTTCGTTTCTGGGCACTAACTTAGCAAAATTTGGCCTCAGTTTTTGCCACTGGGAGATGTGGCATTGTGGATGGGGTAGAGAAAGATGCCACCTGAAAAGCACTGAAAGCAAAATCTGGTCGGCCTGAGTTCAGTGCCCACCCTCAATACCTCCCTTAACTCTATAAGCCTTGGGGCTCACCTCAGTAAATTGGGAGTGGGAATCATGCTAGAGATGGCTGCCAGAATTAAATGAGAGAGGACCCAGAATGGGCCTTCATTACAGGAAAACTGCATCTGAATGGACACAGTGTCAGGAAGGGAAGGTCAGTGACAGTCCCACTGTCCTTGGATTTCACGCAGCCTGGTGCCTGGCTTGCATTGTGGCCACTAGAGGGTGTGTGCAGCTGGGCCCAGCAGGGCAGGCAGGCCACAGGGCTGTAGCCTAAGCTCACTTACCACCCTCCACTCTTACTCTAGAGAAAAAAGCTCCAATTCCCTGGGTACATAAGGAAAGGAGAGGATAGGAGCAGGGTAGGGTCCCAGCTGCGCATCCTCAGGGCTCTGCAGCCAGTTTACTCACAAAGTGTAACTCACTAAGAAGTAACTGACCCCTCTGATTTGAATCCTCCCCACTCGGTCTTCAAAGTACTCTGTGCACAAAAAGTACCCTAGAGCATGTCCCACAGTTCATAACCATACACTTCGTGATCTGTTCCCCCCTCCCCTGGAAAGTAAGTCCCACTAGGGCAAAGATGGCAATGCTGCAGTTACAGCTCACCACAGCAGTGTGTAGGGAGGGGAGTCAGAAGCAGGCCACTTGATGTCATTCTGGCTGTGCCACTGAAGAGGCTAACTCACACAAGAGAGCACCTGCTGTTTTCAGGGTCCCTAGCACTACACCTGTCACGTAATGGATACTCCGCTAAGTACCTGTGGAGAAGTCGGTTGAAATTCCCTCACTTCATGGAGCTCCATGCTTCTCCCTGTGCCAAGCAACTATAGGCACTGCCTCCCCCCAGTCCTCCCAAATAACCCAACGAAGTCTCATTCTTCCTTGACTCTTTTTTTTTTTTTTTTTTTAGAGAAAACACAGAAGTGATTTGTTTCTGGTCACATAGCCAGTAAGTAACAGAGTTGAGACTTGAACCCAGGGCTCTTCAGGTAAGTGCACATCTTAACACTCAGACCTAGAAAAGAAAACTGGTTTTTTGCCCTTGGGAAGTTTCTACACTAGCTGGAAGGGCATGAAAGAGCAGAAATTGTGCAAGGCAGAGCTTGCTTGTGGGTTGTGGGAAGAGGGCAGGATCTAGGGGCCACTGCTTACAGAGACATCACAAAGAAAGCCAGGGTCATCCCTCGCCATGATCATATGTGAATGGACAAGGAGACTGACTCATCATAACCCACTTCACAGAAGACTGATGGATAAGCAGGGTCCCACCTGTTAATTCAGCCCTAGGCTCAAATTTTATAGACAACCATAGGGCCAACTGGCTAAGTGGCAGTGTTCACCCCTTTGGAAGGCAAATCTATAGGTCACTATGACCCTAAAAGGGACAGTTGGGGTACCCTTGGGCAGTCATTGACAATAATTCCTAAACTCTAATAAATGCTATGGACCCTCTTTCCTTTAAAAAATGCACAGTCACATTAATTAAAATTTATGTTCATTCACTTATTGAGCTTCTTCTGTGTACCCACCCCTCTTCTATAGGAAGGGAACCTATAGGAAGCAAAGCACAATTCCTAAGCTCAAAAAGTCTAATAGGAAGAGAAACAGACCAGAACAAAATGGTCAGAGTGGATAGTGTAGTGGAAGATAAAAGTGCCAAGGTCAAAAATAAACCATATATTGACATTTATTTAAATCTTTTAAATTGATTCACAGCTTTTGTTTAGCCTAGTCCTAAACTCTAAAATCCACAAAGGCACAAATGTTCCAATTACGTTTATAATTTTAAAATAAATATGTCATACTTACCTGGCAGGGGAGATACCATGATCAAGAAGCTGGCTCTCATAATCCCAGCACTTGGGAGGCTAGGGCAGGGGGATCATATGTTCAAAGCCAGCCTCAGCAACTTAGCAAGGCCCTAAGCAACTCAGCGAGACACTGTTTCTAAATAAAATATAAAAAAGGGCTGGCAATGTGGCTCAGTGGTTAAGTGCCCCTAGATTCAGTCCCAGGTACCAAAATAATAACGAGAAAGAAGGAGGAGGAGGAGCAGCAGCAGCAGCAGCAGCAGCAGCAGCTGGCTCTCTAGGGCAAGACTGTGCCAGTGCACTTCAAGGCTGTGCTGATCCCTGTGGTTTATCCAGTCAGGAAACTCAACTACCTAAAATTTGTGGTAGTAGGGGGCTGCATTTGTGCTTTCCCCTGACAAAAAATTAAAGAAAGAAAGAAGAAGAAGAAGAAATAGGTAAATATGTAAATCTGTTTATGT